GAGATAAAATTACACCACCACTCATTTAACAGCAGAGCTGCCCAGTGCTGAAACAAGGACTGGGACCCTCATGTGCATAGAACCCACAGCATGTCCACTGGGTGACTCTGGGGATCTAGGTAAGCATCAATCTGAAACCTTTTTTGACTCCATAACTTTTTTCCTTAACTTTTTTTTTGTAACTATTACTTTTAGAGATGGGGACTTGCTGTGTTACCCAGGCTAATCACAAACTCCTGGTTTCAAGAAATCCTCCTGCCTCAGCTTCCCAAGACCCTGGAATTACATGTGTAAGCCACTGCACCTGGCTTGCCACCATGAGCTTGACTCAGCAGTTCTCTCAGCTTGATGGGTCTAACCTCTCATTCCAATTCCTCCATGTCTCAGCTCCACCACTATGGAAATTCTCACACATGCCACTACTTTACCACCATAAATCTTCCTCCCGTTGTTCCAGAAATGGGTCTACATGGGCTTTCGCATGAGCTAACTGCACATTTATCACTTTGGCTTGTGTTGACCATTGGCCGTAATCTTCTAGGTCACAGCAGATGAACCAGTGTGATTCACGCAAGAATGGTAGGAATGACTGTGACAAATGTTTGCCTTCAGAAAGACAAATATTATTTGTAGCTCGCTTGTGGTGGGAAAGTAATCTAACATGCAAAAGGCATCTGAATTTATTAGGTTGGTAGAGCTAAAACATAACTACTAATATATGGGATTTTTCTCACAGACTGATAACAGCTTTATTGCGTGTAGTCCTTATCATTTATTGCTTCCTCGCACTGTAAAACCTGAAAAGAGCATATTATTCCTTGACCAGCTGACATGAGTTTGTGTTTCATTTGACATGTGTCCTCTAACCACGGCACTTCAGTTTACGGTCATAGTTGCTTTGACATAAATTTAAAAACATAATTAGAAAGCACTTAGGAAACTGGGCTACTTACCTAGATTAGCGTTTCTAATGTGGTTATTTATTGTGGACCAAAACTCTACTTAAGTTTTGTAACTTTACAAAAGTGGTACAGGTAAGTTCAAAAGATCTCACTAGGTAATTAAAAGGCCGTGAAGTCTCTTCATATTGCTTCAGCTCTGAACAGAAAGATCTGCCCAGGGTCACACTTATTAGTGTAGCCTTAGGAGGCAGCAGGCACACAAGAGGAAAAACACCGTGAGCAATGAGCCTGTGGTACAAAGATGAAAATAACCATGTTGGCAACAGATAATGGGCAGCAAGGAGGGATGACTGTTCCTTAGCTCGGCCCCTGTGCCTATGCACAGAAACAGTGGTCCAGAGCCATCCAAAGAGAACACGAGAAACAAATCTCCTATTTTGAAGCCAGGAGTTTGAGACCAGGGCAACATAGCAAGGCTCCATCTCTAAAATAAGTTATTTCCTTTTTTTTTTTAAAGAAAGATTATGACTGTAAAAGGAAAACCTGAGTCAAGGAAGGTTGGCATATAATGTTGGTAGGGATGGTCTGGGATAGACTAAAGAGGAGATCAAATGAATTTGGGAGAAAAAATAACTATGAGTGAGATTATTGACTTAGTACCTAGTAGTACTGTACCTCCTAGTAGTGCCTTTAATACCTAGCAGGTGGATTATAACTGTTTTTTGTTTTTTGTTTTTTGTTTTTTTTTTTGAGACGGAGTTTCGCTCTTGTTACCCAGGCTGGAGTGCAATGGCGCGATCTCGGCTCACCGCAACCTCCGCCTCCTGGGTTGAGGCAATTCTCCTGCCTCAG